CCCGGTGGTGGCCGCCATGTCGCACGAGTGTGGGCTCGTCTCTGTCTGCTCCCTGGGAGCTCTTCGTCCTAGCCCTGCTCTCTGTTTTCCCCAGTCTCAGAGGGCTGTTCTGGTACTCCATCTGGGGCTGCATCAGGAAGCCCTGGGGGCTGCCAGAGCTAACACAAGTCGGGCGTACAACTTGTGGGTGGCAGGCTGGTCGCAGGTTCCCCGAAACGTGCTCCGTTTCCTCCGTGGTCGCAGGGTGTGCGCCCGATAGGCCGCAGACATTTAGGAAACACGGCCTCACTGCCGCTCTGCTGTGCGGTAGCCCAGTGCGTAGTAGCTGTAGCTGTCCTGGAAGTCCCGGGTATACGAGACAGCTGTACCCACAAAGTGTGGGCGATGGTGGGGCTAGCTGCAACTCTGCCAAGATAACAGACGCCTCAGTTCTGCATGCGCTGAGGTCATGTTGATTTCTAAGGCTTGAATAATCTTAACGTTTTCCTTGTCCACAGAAAACTCCATTATTTAAAGATATCCCATTCCATTCTGATGTCTGTGCTGGAAGTTGAACTGATGATTAAAAAATTCCCTTCAGTTCTTTCTGGAAAATAGTAGCCTCTGAGGCCATTCCTCCTGGGAGCTGAGTGCTCCTGTTTGGCGACTTGTCAGACGGCTGTCAGAGGGCATAGTCCCTGAATTCTGGTGTTTTTTGAGCTGCTGGGATCTCAGCCGATTCCAGTTAATTTTCCTGCCAGCAAGTCTGCAAACGCTTTTCCCCAGGTACAGAACCTGCCTGTGATGGTCCTTCCTGAAAACTGTATTCCACTGTCCAACTTTTTGTCCTAAAGCATCTGTTCTAGACTCGTTAAGATCCTTCCCCAAAAAACTTTCCCCCCATTTCAGTCAAGGGCTAAGCCTTTTGCCGTATATCCTTTTGAGGTACGTGGTGATATGTATAAGCTAACAGACAGGGTTTTGTTTTTCGGAGAGCTGACTGCACCAGTGCTTTTCCGACCTCCAAGATAAACCCCAAGAAAATTCAGACTGTTGAAATGAATAAACTTCCTGAGTGCAATAGCACTTGATTTATGTTATTCTTTCTTTGATGTCTTACTAACTCCCAGCCTGGTTTGTCTCCGGTGATCCTGGTTAGTGTGGCAGCTAGAGGCACTAAGACTGATCCTCCACTACGAGAGCCCCTCCAACTCTTCTCTCCCACGACAACGCTTCCCGTGTGTCCCTTCACGCTCTTATTTCTACCACTCCTTTTAAAAATTCCCCTGTTATTTCTGGCCTTTTAATCTTATTGCTCACAACTTGCCATTCTTTCCATTTCTCTATCATCTCCCAAACAGTAGGAAAAACTGCCGCTGCCCTTCCCAGCCGTTTCCTTACTGAGTCTGCTACTGGTCGAAGGTCAGCTTTTAAGTTTCTATCTCTAATCAGTGAAACAATACATGGTGGGCCAACATTAAAAACCTCTCAGAGAATCTGCTGATTATTTTAATGCCATGGATAGACATTGACAAAGAAACTTGTTCCAGCAATTTTCAAAGAGCCAACTGCATAATAAATTCGTAATATTAACAGTAATTAGTTATATACACAGGTTCCCAAAGCTGTCACAGCCAGAAGACACTACATATAGAGGCCCAAAATGTCACATGTGAGCATTTGCCCCAGGGCATCCGTTCTCCAGAGCAATAGAAGAAGCTAGGGGAGCTTTCACAGGAGCTGTATCCCAGTGTCACAGACCAGAGCTTTGAAAGCTATCTCCCCCAAATGATGATACTTTTGAGGGTGAGGTTAGGCCATAAAGAAGTTTGGTCTAATATCACTGAATCCCTGATAGATGTGGGCTATTTTTTCTCTAAAAAAATTAAATTTTAAATTCCAATTTTAAGATTGTTTAGCACAGAAGAAGACAGATTTTACTAGGTTATTAAAAATTTGTTAAGTTGTTTCAAAAAAGGAATGGAAATTTAAACATCTTGTACTGTATAAGCAGTACTTTAGGCTAAAAAAACAAGTTAATCCTGTCTGATCTTTTTTTTTTACTGTGTATCTTGCAAGATGAGTTTGCCTGTATGGAGGTTATATTTGATAGATAAGTCATGATACTAATATCATACTTTTTTGCCTCCAGGCACTCCCAGTTAGTTGATATGTACATGCCAATAATATGTTTTTTAAAAATAATGCTTTCTATGAGAGCTGTTAGTAATAATGAAGAGAAAGAGGGACGCTGGAGAAATTTCTGGTGAAGCAAAGACAGGAAAAAAAAGGAGAGACGGATAGGATTGGCTGTTTCGATATTTCTACTTTAAAGAGGAAACGAGAACCGAGAGAAAATTTCAGAAATAATGAAAAAGATTGCACTAGGTTAGGAACTACATAGCTGAGATCTCTGCAATTTGAGACTACAGGCTACTGTTTGTTAATAAAAACCATTCTTTCTGAGTGATCAAAACAAAATAGATAGAGCTGAGAATGATCATCTTGCGTATGAGGGTGAAGAAGACCAAAAACCAAATGTTTAACTTGTCTTCTGATTTATGCTTTCTATTGGTTACGTCCTCTAGACACTCCTGGCTCCTGTAAAATGAGATATAACATGTCAAACTGTGAAATCTAAATCCTATCGTTTCTTCCCCAAATTAGTTTCACCACAATTATTGTGCCTATAGTTGACTGCGGTTGTAAAATTGCAGCCCAGAAGGTCATGTTGAGGTTTTGCTAAAAATGATGCTGAGCTAATTTTTAACTAAGTTTTACTAGGCAGTGTATCAGAAATATAGTGTCTGATATCTCATGAGTGGAAAAGGGCCATCAAGATCTCCACAGAGGCAGACTCAGGCCAGAATATTTTGTGAAAGCTCTTTCTTCCAAACTAAAATAATTCCAATTTTAGGACTTGGCAAATTTAGACACAGCTTTCAACGACTTAGCATTGCAATTGGCCAGATCTTTCTGTTTTCCTTCACCCTATTATAGACAAACCATATTCAAACTGGATCTGAAGTTCGGTAGTGTTTTGTGTCCACCTGCACTGTGGACTCAGAGCTTCTGGCTGGGGTTGGAGTGCAGTTAAAAGGTGGGAGGGACTATTAGTTAAGGGAGTGATAGGACATATCCTGGGTTAGTCTGAAGGTGGCACTACAAGGCCATATGTGAAAGGCACTACTTTAGGCTGAGGGGGTGCACGTGTGTTTTCTCTAGTAATTCTCTTAGGCTGTGTGGCACATGGACTGCCTGAGAGACTCAGATAAAATGGGGAATAACGTGTTTTGCCTCACCTTCTTGTCTTGTGGGCTGAATGCAGAGAGCAACCAAGTGTATGTGGAAGCTGTAGGTCTAAGATGGATTTGGAGCAGCAATGAATTTGGCTCCGACAGCCCAAATGAAATATGAAGATAGGTGATTGATGCTCTGAGAAGCCTTAGGGATTCGGGTGACCTGCTTATAGTCAATGCCACTGGAGAGCTGACTTCACCTGAAAACACCTGGCATTATCTGAACTCTGTCATCTTCGGCTCCCACAGAAGCTGCCCTCAGCCTATGAGCATAGTTGTCGATTGATGTAATTGCGGTTGCTCGTGGAAAATTATGGGTTGAGCGCTTCTAAAATCGTGGGCTAGTTCCTCAGTAGTTAGCCATGACTAACTGGAGCTCGTGAAGAAGGTGACTGCAAAGGTAGCTTGGTGCTATCATTGAACTCCTTTGTCTTACCCCGTGGTGAACTTTTCCCAGAATAAATAGGAAGCCTACAAGCTATGCTACGACAGTGACAGCGGTGACTGCTAGAGTGCAGCATGCTGTATGCTGGGTGTATTTTCCCTTTTATCACGCTTGTCACCAGTGGTAGGAAGAAGACACTGGAGTGACTGCAGGAGTGCTGTGTAAGCTAAGGGAACTTAGTATTCATGAAGAGTCACCAGATCCTGGGATAAGCTCCTTTTCGGATAACCTTATGCTAGAATGCAAAAATGCAAATTTGCCCTAATGTGGGGTTGGGTCCTTTTTTTGTCTTCAAAACACTACGTAAAATTTTTAGGTGCTTTGTCCAGGGAAATAGTTTTTAGCACACTTGTATGAGCACAACGGTACAGAGAAGCCCTATTTTAAAAAGAGAAATGCCTAGTATAGAAAAAATATTTAAAAGGAAATCAAAATATAGGGCATAGCTTTCAAAATAACTAGTGATTTAATTTTGCAGGAACACTGTAAATACAGTGAAGGGGCCTAAATGCTTTTTTCTGTATTTCAAGAGAGGCACAGGAAAATGAAGACAAATTTTGGACATATTATAAAATGTATTATAC